CGGACTCAAACTGTCAACCTTTCAGTTAGTAGCCGAGTGCTTAACTGTTTGCACCATCCAGAAACTCCAACTCCATCAAGACTGCAGAGAGCAATCATTTCATTGACTTCAATTCTTAAAATCATAAAAGGATAGACCTTCGACTTGGTCTCGTCTAAGCCCTACACTTTAAATTTCCATAAACAGAGACTTTGATGTTAAGTGATCTGGTCAAAGTCACAGAATTGGTTAGCAGGAAAGCTGGAAATAAGCTTCTACATCCTGAGTTACATAGTTTTTCTGCCTGCTGCCCCATAGCTTGCTGCTTCTTTGTTTGGGACCTAAATTTTCCCCATGAAATGTGATTTAACACTTAACCTCATGCTCCAGCAACTGCACATTTCCTGGGTCATAGATAGACAATTAACAGCATCAAAGAAAGGACGTATTGTATAAACTTACAGCTTCATAATGGCAAGAGATAGGGGTGGAGTTGTGGGAAGAGTGGGGGATTTGGAGAGAATGGAACAACCTCTGCCAAAAATTTGCAGGTGTTGGGACTATAATAAGACATTGGCCTTGAGAAATATTCCAAACAGAAAAATCTGTATCCATATGCACGGTTGAGATAACAGAAAAGACTGGATAGAATAAGCTTGTACTACAGAACACCAGCTCTTTGAAAAACATCTGAAATCACTGAATGATTGATTAGATATTTGGCATCAGTTAGATACAGCTCTCATCTCCAGCAATGGCTGGAATACACAAGCATTTTACAAAAAGATACCTTTGTGGAGTCTGTAACTAATCAGTAGTTTTTGGAGAAAAGAAGGCCCGGTTTTAAGTAGTTGCCCTTATTTATTTATTTATTTATTTTTAGGGAAATATACAGATAATTCTGATTATAAATTAGGTGGTAACTCTTCCTGTGTGTGTGTGCTCATGTTTGGATGGAGAGTGGAGATATAGGAATCATTCCCAACTGTGTGGTGTGTTACAGGGTCAGGAACATCTTGGACACTGGAGAAGGAGACGGGTGGTACTGCTTGTGTATAGTGGCCACTTTGGTTTGGTGCCAGATATAAAAGGATATTAATTCTCCACATTAAGCAAAGAGGAAGTGTGACATTTTGTGTCACATATACTCATTTCTTTGGGTTAAATTAAAGAGATAATTCTAAATGTTAGAAAAGCATTTAGAATTATTTTCTTAATTTGCTTGATTCTTGCCCAAGGAGAAAGGAGAAAGTTAACTATCCAGTCTATGGAGGAGTCTACTTGAGCACACTTTCTTGGCCCTGAGAGAAGTACAGGAGTCCTTTAGAAGAAGGGGAAGATTGATAATATATATCTAGGGGTTTGACTTCATGGCTGGTAACTGACGCTGTGTTTATTTTTACTTTTGGTTTCCGGAGTTTATGATTAGGATTAGTAGCCCCTAGGCTTTCTGCTCCTGGAAAGATTTACAACCTAGGAAACCCTCTACAGGGTCACTATGAGTCAGAAGTGACTTGATGGCCCCTACAACAACAACAGTACTTAGAACCAAGGATGGGAAGACTTCGTCTCATGTACTTTGGACCTGCTATCCAGAGGGCCCAAAATATCAAGGTAAAGTTAGAGGGCCAGCGATAAAGAGGAAGACTGTCAACGAGATGAATTGGCACAGAGGCTACAACCATGGATTCAAACAGAAAAGAATGGGACGATGATGCAGAACTGGGCAGTGTTTCGTTCTGTTGTACATAGGGTCGGTATGAATTAGAACCGTCTTGACAGCACTCAGCAACAATATTTATTTGTTCAATAATGAATTTAAAAAATTACATCATTCATGGAAAGGTCAGAATAACCAGAATCCAGCCTGAGTTTTTAACCTGTATTCTAAATGGATTCGAGGGGTTGGAGCAATTAGTTTAGTTTCATGATATTTATGTAGATGTCAAGTCTACCTGTAGGGTTGCAATACAGGACACATGTTCTTCAAAAGGCTACCGGAGGTTCAATTAAGTCCTTAATGTCAATGAATATTTGTGTTCACTGCTGTTACTACATAATATATAGTCTGTTGTTGCTGTTGTTACGAAGTGTCGTTGAGTCCGTTCCAATTAATAGCGACCGTGTATAGGGTTTCCGAGGAGCAGCTGAGAGGTTTGAAATGCCGACCTGGCGGTTGGCAGTCCAGTGCGTATCCTACAGTGTCACATCAGGACTCCAGTATATGATCTAGCAGAGTACATATTTTCTCCATCACCGCCTCTTCTTTTCACTTACTAGTCCCGATGTATGTGGGGGACAGTTCCCAAGTCACAAGTGTTCACCTTACAGAAACTC